CCCGCCAAACAACAATGATGGCTGCAACCAAAAAATGGCCAGGCGTTGTGGGGGGCGCCTGTAGTCCCAGCTACTTGGGAGGCTGAGGCAGGAGAATCGCTTGAGCCCAGGAGTTGGAGGTTGCTGTGAGCGTGATGCCATGGCACTCTACCAGGGGGATAGCTTGAGGCTCCGTTTCAAAAAAAAAATAGAAATCTATATGGATCGACACCTGTGGCTCAAGTGGCTGAGGCGCCCACCAGCCATGTACACCTGAGCTGGCAGGTTCGAATCCAGCCTGAGCCCACTAAATAACAGTGATGGCTACAACCAAAAAATAGCTGGGTGTTGTGGTGGGCATCTGTAGTCCCAGCTACTTGGGAGGTGGAGGCAGGAGAATCAATCACTTGAGCCCAGGAGTCAGAGGTTCCTATGAGCTGTGATGTCATGGCACTCTTCCCAGGGTGATAGCTTGAGCCTCTGTCTCAAAAAAAAAGAAAGAGATCTATAGAAGAAGGAAAAAAAAGTCCCCCAACTTGTAGAATTTAACAAATTCAGGAGGCTGAGGCAAGAGAACCACTTGAAGGCCAGGCACAGTGGCTCATGCCTGTAATTCTAGTGCTCTGGGAGGCCAAGGAGGGTGGATTGTGTGAACTCATGAATCACAACCAAAAAAATCACAAAGTTAGAAAATACTTTGAAGTGGATGAAAACACAAGTCAGAATTTGAGTAAAAGCAGTCCTAAGAGGCAAATGTGTAGCTATAAATGCCTACATAAAAAGGAGAGGCTAGGGCATGGTGGCTCATGCCTGCAAATCTCCACACTTTGGGAGGTCAAGGCAGGAGGATCACTGTTGGCCAGGAATTCAAGACCAATGTGGACAAGAAGTGAGATCTGTCTGTACAAAAATATAAAAATTAGCTAGGTACAATGGTGTATACCTGTAGTCCCCGCTACTCAGGAAGCTGAATTAGGAGGATCACTTGAGCCCAGGAGTTCAAGGTTACTGCCACTGCACTTCAGTCTGGATGACAGAGTGAGAGCCTGTCTCTAAAAATAAAATAAGGCCTGGCATGGTGTTTCATACCTGTAATCCTAGCACTCTGGGAACCTGAGGGGTGGGTCACCTGAGTTCGAGACCAGCCTGAGCAAGAGTGAGGCCCATCTCTACTAAAAATAGAAAAATTAGCTGGATATTGTGGTAGGTGCCTGTAGTCCCAGCTACTTGGGAGGCTGAGGCAAGAGGATTACTTGAGCTGAAGGGCTTGAGGTTGCTGTGAGTTATCATGCCATGGCATTCATTCCACCCAGAGAAACAGAGTGCTACTCTGTCTCAAATAAACAAACATAATGGGGCGGCACTTGTGGCTTAAAGGAGTAGGGCACTGGCCCCATATACCGGAGGTGGCGGGTTCAAACCCCACCCCAGCCAAAAACTGCAAATAAATAAATAAATAAACATAAAATAATAAGCTGGATGTGGCAGCTTATGCCTATAATCCTAGCACTCTGGGAGGCTGAGGCTGGTGGATTGCTGGAGCTTAGGAGTTCAAGACCAGAGTGAGACCCCATCTGTAAAAAAAGGCGGGGGGGCAGTGCCTGTGGCTCAAAAGGGTAGGGCACTGGCCCCATATGCTGGAGGTGGCGGGTTTAAACCCAGCCCTGGCCAAAAACTGCAAAAAAAAAGGCCTGTCATCCTAGCACTTTGGGAGGCCAAGATAGGTGGATCGCCTGAGCTCACAGAGTCAAGACCTGCCTGAGCCAGAGTGAGG